TCATAGTGTATGGCGTGTGAATGTTCTCAGTAAATATTTGTTAAAGCAATAAATTTAGCCTCTTATCTTACGAGGGAAGTGTGGTGCAAAATAGTAAACAATAAGATAAGAGTCATAAAAATGTATTTGGAAGATTCAGTGGAAACACAGTCATTCTGCCAGAGAGGGAGCACCAAGAGGGCTGCATGGAGGAGGAAACTGAGCAGGACCAGCCACAGGGCAGGGCTTGCCAGAAGGGACCGGGAGAAGGAACAGAGCTCAGCTTGGTGGGACAGATCTTGGGATGGTTAAGCAAGCCCAGGGATCCTACAGAAATGGTTTAGCCAGGCAAGAGGGTCCAGGCAGACCTTCTGAGTCTTCAGATCAGCAAAACCAGGAAGAAAAGGTCAGGGGCATATGCCCACAAACCACACCAGAGTCTGAGTCAGAATGGTGACGTATCCCGAGATGCTTTTACAAGGGTAGGAGCTGGGGGTGTAGGTAAAGCAGGAGGAAGCAGGCAGGAAGCAGGTTCTCCTTGGGTTAGGTGGTGACAGCCTTCCTCAAGGTGGCCCCCAGCAATGGCGGGAATGGGTTCTGATGGCCAAACCCAGAGTGGGTGTTGGCTGTGCCAGCTCTGGCCCCCCACATTCTCCTGGCATGGGAGGAGAGAGGGAAGGAGGGGGTGGCAGGAAGGATGCACAGCAGCATGGCTCCCTAACGGTTCCCCGGGTGGCCTTCGAAGCTGGTTGCAGTGGTTCCTTCAGCGAAAGATTTTGCTCAGAACAGCGTGAAGTGGTCGAAGGCACGACTGCCTTCATGAAGAGCCTGGGTAAGTTCTGTGCTGTCTCTAAACCTCCTCAGCCTCCTCCTCTGTAGAATGGGGATAAGAACAGTACCTACTTCTTAAGTCGATTGTGAGGGCTAAGTGAAGACGTAGGTCAAGTCTCTTTGGGGCAGTCACACAATAAACCTGGAGTCTAGTTCTTTATCCCGGAATGGGATGCATCAGAGAGTGGGGTGGGGGGTGACCAACCAATCATCTTCTCTTCCCTCACCCAACACCTGAGATCGCAACACTCAGGGCTTCCCCAGGGGCCCTTTGTGGACAGGATCTCTCTGATCGGCCTTCTTGAAATGCCCATTTAAATTGCACCCCCTCCACCTCTAGAGTTCTCGATCCAAACTGCCACTGCTCGGAACCTTCCCCCACCACCCGCGGTGGGAATGGATTTCCAGCCATTTGTCCCTTCCAGCTTCAGTTGCAAGTCTGTATGGCTCTTCTCTGCCCAGCTCCAACGTGGGGATCTGTGGCCCATCCTTGGCCTTGGGGGAGAGGACAAAGGAAGGCCACCAGGTTCGAGGGGCTGGGGAGAAGCTGGCACAGAGAGGCCTGAGGGTGCTCCAGGTCTGCTCTGTCTCTGGCAGCAAGGGCCAAGGCCAGTTGTATCTAAATTAAATAAATGTACGTGTCACTCAGCACACCACAGGCAGGGAGGGAATGTGAATCTCTACGCATTAGGTCTAAAATCAAGAACATGAAAATACACTGTAGGCTCTAGGGTAATGTAAAAAGATGGACTTTTACTGCTCACCCTGGGATTTCTCCACCTATAGAAGCTTTGCCTTACATGAAGTTAGGGACTCACTTCCCCTTACAGATAATTTACAAAAATATCAAGATAGAGACCAGCTTCTAGATAACCTTTCTCTGGTCATCTGTAAAGTATTGACCCAATACTGTTCCCCCAAATCAGTTCATCCTAAGGACACAGCCTTTCCTGGGAGTTGGTGCTCATGGCTTTGGTGCAGTTACAAGCCACGGGGTCACATTTCGACTCGGCCTCATGGAAATGTTATGCTTGGGTTTGTCACGGGCTCCACAGTGCGGGGCAGGAGGCCACAGGCACCAGGATAAACTGCAGACTTCCTCTCCACAAGGCTGGGAGAAGCTGGGGGTAGGCTGCCTGGCACGCCAGTCCCCATAGGAAGGCCACAAGAAACAAAGAAGTCTGAAAACAGATCCCCGAAGAGGCTTCTTCCTTTGGCACATCTGACAAGAGCCTGGAGGTACCCTTGCTACTCTGTAAGGTGTGGTAAAGGGAGTGTGTAAAACCAAGAGGGTCTTATTTCAATGTGGGCTAATGATTTCATGTGGGATTGCTAATATGGGAGCTGTTTTGTTCTCCCTGAGCCACGATGAATGTATTTCTAGGTCACCATGTAGGTTTGGGAAGACATGGTCACTCTACAGGGAGGGGGGGAGCAAGGGACACTGCACAGAGGAGGAGATACTGAAACTCCTCTGTCCTATGCTCCTATGTCCCACCAGGAAGGCTCATGTCTGCCCCAGTCCCCAGGCCAACGCAGGCATGACGAAGGACTTGTGAGCGCCTCTCTCATCCCAGGATCACCTTGTGCCACTGAGGTCCCATGTGACTCCCTGAGTCTCCTTCCCTGCCCTGTCCTGAAACCACTGCCCCTGGAGAAGGCTTCTAGATGGCTCCACGGCCCCTCAGTCATGGCTTCCAGATATTTCCTCCCTTTCTTGGCCCATGCTGCCCAAGTCCACAGCCTGGGCTCTCCCTTGGTCCTACCCTCACGTGCTACTCAGTTGTCCTGCCCTCCAGCCTAGGCCTCCTCTAGGGCTGGAGATCTACCTTAAGCCCCAGTGCATGGTAAGTTTTCTGCTCCTTACTTTTGGTTTCTTTCCCAACATATCCTAGGGGATGGCTCTCTGCCCCAAGTTCCCTGTCGTCATGCCGTGTTCACCTGCTGAGACTCTGGGCTCCATGGTGATGACCTCTTGCGAGGTGGTGCTTGAGACTTTCAGAGATTAAGGGCTTCCCATCATCATCTCCCAAAGCAGACTTTGCCACCAAATCAGTTGAACTCATGCTTGTCCTATCTTAGTGGACAAGCCTTATGCCATCGTATTGGTCAGGGTTCTTCAGAGAAACAGAATATATACATACACGCACACCTGTACATACATGTGTATGTGTATCTCTCCTGTTAGTTCTATGATATATATTTTATATAGATAGATATAGACCGAGAGTTAGAGAGATTTTAATAAATTGGCTCAAGCAGGTTGTGTGGCAGGGTGGAATTCCCCGGAAGGGCTGATGTTGCAGTCTGGAGTCTGAAATCCATAGGCTGGAAAATCAGGCAGGGTGTCTACATTGCAGTCCTGAGGAGAATTCCCTCTTCTTCAGGAAACCTCAGTAGTGGCTCTTAAGGCCTTCAACTGATTGGACGAGGCCCACCCACATGACAGAGGGCAATCAACTCAAAGTCTACTGGTTTGAATGTTAGTCACATCTAAAACATACCTTTAGGGCAGCATCTAGACCAGTGTTTTTCCAAACAATTGGGTAGGATGGCCTAGCCGACTTCTAAGTATTAGAGTATTAGAGTATAACCTCAGTATTGGCTCTTAAGGCCTGCAACTGATTGGACGAGGCCCACCCACATGACAGAGGGCAATCAACTCAAAGTCTACTGATTTGAATGTTAGTCACATCTAAAACATACCTTTAGGGCAGCATCTAGACCAGTATTTGTCCAAACAACTGGGTAGGATGGCCTAGCCGACTTCTAAGTTCCCTCTCCTTCTCCCCGGGCCTCCCCAGACCATGATGCTTCTATCAGTTATGATGCTTTCAAATGCAAAGTCACAAGGAAGCCTATTCAAATAGGCCCAAACTACAAAGGGAACTCATTGGCTCTTGGAACTGAAAAATCCACAGGCAGGCCAGCTCTGAGTTTGACTCACTTCAGGTTTGAGACCACGTCTCTCTGGGTCTCTTGGCTCTACCTTCCCTGTGTTGATGTAATCTTCAGGCAGGCTTCCCTTGAGATTGTAACATGGTTGACACACTTCTTTATTCACATCCAAGAGGAAAGAGAGCGGGACATTCCTCCCAGAACCGGGGTGGGGGTGGGGTGGAAAGAGCACCAAGCTTCTCTCTGGTTGGCTCAGTCCTGACGTCATCATGGGGCCAAGGGAATATTCTGTTCTGATTGGCTTAGGTCTACCTCGCTCTATCCAATCCCAGGGCCGAGGGAGGGGGTTTGCCCTACCTGCCATCTAGTTAGGGACCTTTCCTGGAGCCTGGGGTAGAATCAATCCCAGCAAAACCAGTGGCTGAGGGGTGGGATGCTGGGAGCACCCTGCAGGGCCACAGGAACCAGCCCTCATCCCAGGAGAGGATAGCTTCTGGGAAGGAGGGGTCTCCCTGCCTTGGCGTCGGGGCAGAGCTGGTCCAGCATGGAGGGGCGCGGTGGAGACTGGCCAATGTGCGTGTCTTCAGACTTCTTTGCTCCGAATAGGTCTGCCTGTCTGCCATTGAGGGAGCGATGACCAGAACTGAACTCATAGCAGTCAGCTATACAACTGTTAGGACATGGGCAGAACTGTGGGATGTCCCTGGGAGCCACCAGCTGCTGAGGAGAGTGACTCACGCCCTGCTGACAGGGATGGCATGGCCCACACAGAGAATGCAGGAAGAAGGTGGCTTGAAGACATGTTGGGACAGCCCAGGTGAGGGGGCTGCCTCTGAGATTTTGATCTGTAATTTTTTTTTTTAAGTAGGCTCCACACCCAGCTTGGAGCCCAACACGGGGCTTGAACTCACGACCCTGAGATCAAGACCTGAGCTGAGATCAAGGGTCAGATGCAACCAACTGAACCACCCAGGTGCCCCTGTAATTTGTTTTTATAAAACGAAACAAAACAAAACCTGAAGTGGCAGGACTTATATCTTCACAAACTATGAAATGCCTCTTTCGTTCCTCCCTCTGTCTGTACCACTTCCCTCTCTACCAAGATGCCACTGTAATTACTCGCACAGGCATGTCACACAGCATGCCAGGGGAGGGATCGGCTGCACCCTTGCCGAGAAGTCCACCCATCCTTCCTGTGCAGTGTTCTCCTCATACGGGTGTACGGGGCGTGCCTGTTGGCCAGCCCAGCTTGGCCATGTGCACTTGGCCCTCCCATCAGCCACTGGGCGACGAGAATCTTCCCCTGCTTGAGCAGCTGAAGGAAGCGGCATACCACCAGTGGGACCTGAGACTTCAGGAGAAAAAAATCAGCAGAGTTGTGCCTGGATATCATCCCGGGCTAGGGAGAGACACCCTGGGGGCAAAACGTCGCTGGAATCAGACGAGGGTGCTGCCTACAGAAACAGGCACAGCTTTCTAAGTTGTGCCACAAAAACAAGCTGCTGAACACTCACGCAGTAATGCTGTGTGATTTACAAGGCCTTTTGCTTCTCTCAGGTCTTTGAAACAAAAGCATCAGAAACCCTTTTGCAGAACAGAAAACTGAGGTAAGGAAAAGTCGCACCTTGCCGAAAGTTACTCGGTGAAGCCCCCATTGAAATCCAGACCCTCTAACCCTAAATCCCATCTTCTTTTACCACTGGTGCTCAGCGTTTCAGGGTAACACTTTTGGGGGCCCTGCCAGTGCAGGGAATATTAGTTAAGATGTGCCATGGAAAGGATTAAACAAATCCCACCAAACCCTTTGCTTACCCACGGGTTCATTCTCATTCTTCATGCTTAGTTTGCTAATGTAGGAGTCACATGTTCCTGTTGTCTTTATTCTCCCGGTTTAATCAGGAAAACGAGCCAGAAGAGCTGAAATGATTAGCTGGGGATCATTAGAAGAGGAAAGAATTTATATTCACAGTGACTGTATTTCTAGTCCATTGATTAGGCAATTTTGCTTTTATGAATCAATTGTGGTGATTGCTATGCTGAATAAAATATGGAATTGCTATCACAAAGAAAACATAAATTATTAGTTTTAAAACACATAGTGTCTCTGCATGGAACTATGTATCCTATGGTCTATTTCTCATTTCCTCTCCCAGAATTCCACCTGGGTTTCTCAGGGGGCTCTCCCATAGGTTCCTTGGCTCTACTGTGGCTTAGAGCAGCACGAGCCAACAAGGTGCAACATTATTATTTAGCTTCCACTGATCATCCCTTGTAGGTGGCCGGTGGTGTTCAAAGGCAATGCAGAGTGCTGTAGGGGGGAGATCAGTACCCACGCACATCTTGACTCTGCAACTTCAATCCAGAAGGTAAGGTGATTTTTAGAAATATATATATGTATATATATAATCACCTTTGGCGATTCTAATAACAAATGCACCAACAATCTCAGCTCCTATTAATATGTTGAATTTTTTTCATAGGCGATAGAGGTCATTTCCTAAATCGCCTATTTCCCACTGATCCATCTCCGTGGATTGCCTCTTGCTAGAGCAAATATGATCATGCCCAATGAATATAATGAATAATTATGGAACTTTATTTCATAAGAGGGTGTTTTAAAAGCCAGATAATCACTTTTAAGAGGACACAAGAAAATGGAATAGGACAGAATAGAGGTGGAAGGAAGAGGAGAAAACAGAGAAGAAATAGCAATAGATCAAGTGCTTTAAGACTAAAACCTTGCAAGGCCATTGTTCAGGCGTGAAGAACAAAGAAGGAGGTCTGTGGCTTCAGTGGCGTGGGATTTTTGTGGATTCTAGGTACCAGAAGCTTCATGAATGAATTCGTTTGACAAACGATACATGAAGGCACTGAGGATTTTAGATTGTTATAATTTTTTTAAGATCTAGCAGTCTCGTAGCCTACCGTAAAAGGACTGGCCCACGAGAGAGAGAGCGGATGACCGTGAAGGAAAAGAGGATGGAGAAGGAGAGAGAACAAGCAGAAATGAAAATATGTAGCAGCAGCTAGTACCAACAAAATCCCCAGGGCAAGCCCTTTCTTCCCCAAAGAAGACACGTCGCCCACTTCTTAATTAACACATTCCTATTTTTTCTCAGCACAGATCAATCCTGAGCACCAGCTTCCGTAAGTTCCTCCCTCCCAAGGTACTGTGAGGAACACAAGATAAATAAGATTCAGACCCTATTCTCAAAGAACTTAGAATCTATTTGGAAATTTCAAGCAATGCACCCTGAATTATGGATCTGCTCTAAGACAGCATTCAAGCAGGTGCAGAGGGGCCTGGTCCACACTCTGGGTGTGCAGTTCCAAGAAGAGAATGGGCCACACAAGGGTGAAGAGGACTAGGAGGGTTTCATGCCGAAGATGGACACCAGCGAGGCCTAAGAGGAGGCACAGCAGAGGTGAGGCAAGAGGACCTCAGGCAGAGCAGAAATTAGCATCAAGTGTTTTGGGATCAAGAAGAAAAATCTGTGACTTCTGTCACTGCAGGTTAATTATTGGGGGGTAATGGGGAATCAAACTTGACTAAATGGGGGAAGGTAGGACTTCCAAGGGCCCAGAGACTCAAGCATAGGGAGGCACCTGGAGTCCAGGGGTGGCCGTAAGGAAGCCAGCCCTGGCCCGGGTACTGATGGAGAACAGAACCAGGGGCCTGGGAGTTAAGGCCATGGACAGGCTGTCACATTACTCCCCTTCTGCGGAACTGGACCAGGATGGCTTCTAGGAAGGAGAAGGAGCTAGGAGAGAATTTCAAAGAGATTTGTTGGTAAGCTTTGGAGACAGATCTGATTTCGGGCAGGGGTAAGAAGAGGGCGTGGAAGATGACTCCACGGCTGCGAATATGTCTCAATTCTGCAAACTGGAGCAGGGTTTGTCTTGGCAGATGACAAATGCCTAGATAAGAGAATAAGAATGACTTGATGTGAGACTGGGACACACCTTGGGGCAAAAATCAGAGCTGTCTCGTCCTCCCCAATCCCCGGGCGTTAGACAGGGATTCGAGGAGATGATGCAAAAGCACCTCTGGCCAGAAGCGGGCCAGGCTGCTGAGGTACCGGGTAGGGCTGAGGATCCATGTTTGCACCTGTGTGGCACAGACCCTGCTGCTTGTCTGGCTCCGCCGCCGTGGCCCCCATTCAAGGAGCGCGACCCGCTCACTCGCTGTGCTGGCTCCGGGCTCTGGGGAGGCTCTCAGTATGGGAAGGCAGAGATGAGCAGACTGGGGCATCTAAAATAGGAGCAATCAATCCAAGGAAAGCATCAGAGATAGCCTCTTTGGGTGTTTACTGGGGGATGCTGTGTTGAATTGGCATCGATGAAGGGGCAGTAAAGATTTCAGGGCACTGATCTGTCTTCAGAAATTCTTGGCAGGAGCAGAAGGTGGAATGATTTAGGGTGAGAAGTTTGTGTCTCAAAGTTCGACATATAAGAGTCTAGGGCTGTGGTCACAGCAGCTTGAGGAAGTTAACCAGGGTAGCCCCTGGGAGGCTAGGCTGCAGAGTGCAGCAGTCCCCCTTATCCAGGGGGATGCTTCCAACACCCGCAGGGGATGCCTGAAACCGGGGATAATACCCAACCCTATGTATGCTATGTTTTTTTCCTATCCATACATACTTATGATAAATACATACTTCATTTATAAATCAGGCACTGTAAGAGATGAACAACAATAATAATAAAATAGGACAACTATAAGCATATACTGTAATAAAAGTTAGGTGAATGTGATCCCTTTCTCGAAACATTTTATTGTACTTCTTGTGATGACGGGAGATGATAAGATGCCTATGAGATGAGATGAAGTGACATGAGTGACGTGGGCTTGTGACCCGGCATCAGGCCACTGACGTTGTGTCAGGAAGATCATTTACTTCCCCACCAACTGGCCGCATGCAGGTAATAAACTAGGGAAAGTGAAACCATGGATAAGGGGGACTGTTTGTTGTACATGCTTTTTAAAGCCAAGGCTGACTGTTCAGGTTCTGTGGTGTAGTGGTTAGCACATCTGCCTTACATGCAGAAGCTCCTGGGTTTGATTCCCAAGGGAACCACAAAGTTGCCTTAGTTCCCATTTAAGTGGGAGGGTGAAATTGAGCAAAAGAAAACAGGCTTATTTTCTATCTTTACCAATCAGGATCCTTTTACTTACTTTTATTTATTTATTTTTAAAGATTTTATTTATTCATTTGAGAGAGAGAGAGAGCACGAGCGGGGAGAGGGGTAGAGGGAGAGGGACAAGCAGCTTCCCCACCAGCAGGGGAGCCCCACTCCGGCCCAAGACCAGGACCCTGAGACCATGACCCGAGCCGAAGTCAGACGCTCAACCGATTGAGCCACCCAGATGCCCCCAGAATCCTTTTAAATACTATTTCCTGGGTGTCTACAAACGTCCTGAAATGCAGGTATTCTTTTTATCAATTTATGGCACAGAGAATAAGCTGAAATCTCACACCGAAGGTCCCCAGGTCCAGGCCCAGATATTCCTGATTTCTGTCCAGCAGGGCTGCAGGGCACTGAGAGCACGGAGCAGAGCAGGAGTCCAGGAGCCCTCTCCTCCAGGGCCAGTCCTGGGGTCTGTACGGTACTGTGACCTTTTTTCTCGGAGGCTCCCCTGACTTCACCCCTAAGATAGCATGAGTCCTGGCTGCATTGTGCTGTGCTTGAGAGGTATGGGAAAGGAAGAAGTTTAGCCAAGTCAGGAATAGCCTAGGTTTTGATATCAAGAAGTCTGGGTTCCAATTCCGCCTCCACAATGTCACTAGCTGTGTGATCTTGGACAGGCTCTCTTCTAAGCTTCTGTTCCCGTGTGTGGACTGGGCATAAGAATAGCACAGTCCCATAGGAAGTCTGTGCACATTGAATGAGATGATCTGTGGAAGGTGCTTGTTGGCACCGTGTCCACTACCTAGTAGGCACTCAACATGTGCTCCTTGGTCCCTGGTATCGGAGTGCAGCTGTATCCAGGTTCTGCGGGAGCGCTAGGACTAAGCAATGCTGCCTGTATCCTTCTCTGCTTCTCTCCCCTGGCCACTGCACTGACTCAAATACCAGCCACGGAAACACTAAACCTCATTAACAGGTGGAGTCACCTCTGAGTTACCTCCACAGTGTAGCGTGAACCCCACTCAGCCCCCCACTGCTTTGTTCTCTGGCTCATTTTCTGGTTAATCCAACAACTTGAACAAAAGTGTTCCCTCCCACCCCGTTCCCCCCCACCTCTCCACCCCACGTACCACCCACCAAAAGATGGGGAGTTGGGATCATGGCAGCCCAGAGGTAAATCCTGTCCAAGGAGCCCTATAGGAGAGCCCACAAAAGAAAGAGTCTCTTTGCCAAAGAAGATTTTTTATTTTTATTTATTTACCTTTTTGCTTACAGGCTCAGAATTCAAACAGAGGATGCTGAATGGCCAGAACCTTGGCCCACCCCCGAGTACCCAGGGCATGTGGCCAGCACCAGGAGTTCAAGTTTCTGCCCAGTAGGCTTGTAATCTGAACTTTCTATTTCTAAAATCCCAGTTCTTAGTAGCCAGCACACATTCTGAGCCACGGAGTTCTGAGAATTATTGCACTTGTCAGCTGCTAGGTCACATGTCCCTCAGCCTGGTCCCTTCTACTGGTATAATAGTACTCATGTTAGAGCCATGAATTTCACTGTCACATGAAAATTGGCATCCCTTATAATACCACCCAAGGCTTGCCATAATCACCCAGAAATACACCGTCAGGCCTGTCATAATTAATCAATTTTCAGGATCCCTCAGGGTCTCCAAATACAATGACTGGTAGCAAATTAATAAATACTTTGGATCATCCCATTTAACTTCATCAAGGCACTGACCCCATGATGAAAATTTAGCTTAATTAGGATAATATCTCATATTTAAAGAGTGCCTCAAAGCAAAGAAGCCCCCAGATTCCATCTCTTAATTTTCAAAGCTACAGCACATATCACTTAGAGCCAACTTTCAGTGAACAGGTATGTTTGTCCCCATTTTACGGATGAGAAGAGCTTCCTGCCCACTGACCTTTACAGAGCTAGGGGCTGGGGAGGTGAGCCCAAAGCTTGGGTTTCCCCCTTCGGGGTTGACTTTGTTTTAATTTATGTTTATGGACGATCAGCAGCACAAAAATACATACAGAATGATTTGTGTGTGTGTGTGTGAGTACCTATTTCGTGAATAGGGTATCCTGTGTATACTGCGAGGCTGTAAATAGATGTCAGTAGTGAAAGGCTGGAGTGGACAAATATAGAATGTAGCTTGTGCTCAGCAATGCCGCACAACCCCACAGAGCCCCATGCTGGTATGTTAACTGGTCTGTTTGGAAGCTTTTTTTCTTTCTTCTTCTTTTTTTTTTTTTTTTTGGTTTAGTTGCATGATAGTACAAAGAGCCTTGTGTTATGGTCTCAACACTACTATTTATACCCTGTGACCCATTAAGCACTGATTCCTTGGTTGGGGTTCTCCCAACATCTCAAGAAAAAAAAAAAAAAAGAAAGAGGGAAAAAATAGCCTGACTGGAAAAAAAAAAAAAAAAAAAGGCAGTTCTCATTTACAATACTTGAGTCAAGAATTTGGAAACATGACCCTAGCCAAAGCCTTCAGAGGTCTCATATCAAATGTTGTTATTTTGGGGTGGCTTGAAAATAAGGCTGGTTGAGGCGTGGGCACCCGAGTGGCTGTCGCAGGAAGCAGGAGCTAGGGTGGGCCCAGGGCTCTGTCCAGAGCTGTCCCCATGTGGGGCGGGGACAGCCAGCTGCCGGGGGGCTGGCCCCAGGCCTCACAAGAGGAATTGGCAACTTGGCCAGAGGAGAACTTCACCTTCCCTGGGTCGACCTCCCTCCCCTGCAGAGCGGAGTCAGACCTCAACCTTCCCCCTAGCTCTCCCAAAGGCAACCAGGCACTCTTTTCCTCCTCAACACGCTAGGAAATGAACCCCAGTTAAGTCTGACGCCCCACCCCTTCTCCAGGGGACTTCGTTTTATTTAAATAGGCAGTATTTCTCCTGAAAGGGAATTTCCTCTCCCCACCAGCCCGTTTGGGAAACGTGCCCGCTGGAGGTATTTTTACGCTCTGTCTGCAGTGGGTGAAAGGGAACCCTGGCTTTAGCCACTCCCCGGGAATGCACCCCACTGTGCTGTGTCAACCTCAGAACTGAGGCACTGCCCATGTTTGGGAACGCAGCTCACTCGGCCTGTACCGCTGCATCTCCCTTCCGACTCAGCATGATCCGCGTGTGCGCGTGCGTGTGCGCGCGCGCGCGCGCGCGCGCACACACACACGCATGCGCATACGCATACGCATGCGCATGCGCACACGCGCGCGCAGCCACGCAAGCACGCACACATCTGGCTCAGAGACCAGATGGTTACCTGCTGTGTCACGGACGTTTTGTACACA